GTTAAAATTCCTTCGACTAAACTAAGAATACCACTTTTTTTAACACGTGTTAATGTCGTGTTAATAAATGAAAATCAATAATTTTTAACGCCCATGCTCTTTCTATTTGGTCGAAAACTATTTTCACAATCAGTAAGATAAATTTGAATGTCTTTGACTAGATTGTAAAAAGCTTCGCAAAATTTCTTACACAGATGTTTCAAGTCACTTGTCGGTTTGGCGTATCAATCAAATTATTAGTATTGGTAGTATCACAATGGTCATTAAAAATCCATTTTCTCTAGGCATTATCGCATCTGAATCTCTCTTCTAAACGAATAGTCCAAAATTTTTAAAATCCTAAGTCATTAATGTTCTGATACCATCTCATTTGATATTTGAATCATAGTTATTATATACATATACTGTTGAAAATTGTACAGAAAATAGCGTGTATTATTTACGAACTCGTCGTATTATGCACATATTTGTCTGGGCCAAGTTTGACTCCTTTCATGACATGTTTTAGGCTCATGTTATTTCATGTAGAAGTAAAACTATTTATCATTTGCTTTGTGTCTCAATCTCAAATCGATACCATTTTTCACATCGAAATAATATGACTAAACATTTAAATTGTTTCACTTCCAATAATACTTTTTGTTCTTCAACAGGAGGCAATAAAATCGCAATTTGAATTATCATGAAATTATCAGTCGTTATTAGTATTAACCCTCTTTCACGATCTATTGTTGATAAATTAAGATAATTATATGTATGAATTTTTATAACTGCTGTAATATAATTAATAACAGCGTTTTTACTTTAATTCAATAGTCCATTATATTTTGTTTCATCAACGTAATAATTTCTCATCATTATCATATTTCATTTATAGCACTACTATCACCATAATCTTATTTTTCTCTTGTTATTTAATATTTCCCAATTTGTTTAGTTAGCATTCAGCAATTAAAATTTCTATCCAAATCCTATACATTTGAACAAATTTCACATATTCAAAGACGACACATATTTAATATGAAAAAACATAATTTAAGAAAACTACCGACACTTTACATCAACAATGCAATACTTAATTTGAAAAAAAAATTGTACTTGAAATGATGCGCAGATCTTTAAGATTAATTTTTGTTCAACAAGAAGCTCATAAACAAATAAAATTATGTATGTTCAAATAGTAGCACATACAAATAAACTATTTAATATCCGAGAGTATCCGTAAGTGTAGGCTCAAATAGTGGCACACGTAAGTATATTTAAAAATTAATAAAAAAAACAATCGCAAACCATTTTCTCGATTTTCTGGAACACGAGTTATGCTTTTATCTAATGGATTTCCATGCAAAACTCTACCAAAGGAAAACACAAAATACAATATTATTTAAATTAAATATAATTTACTAGATGGTTACCATTTTTCAGGTTATGTTTTTCGTACATTTTCTTATTTTCTTTTATTCCATAATACCCTAACAATACATTTTAAACAAAACAATTGCAATAAAAGTTTTTCAAAATATTTTGCATTACGAGGTCCGATATATTGAAAAACTGTACTTAAACTGGCTACGTTTCCAACAGTACCGTTTGTACCACTAGTTTATGAAAAAGCATCAGTATTGTCCTGAATCGCGTTTCCATTCACAAACTTTTGTAAATTATCAACTTTTTTATTTAAAATTTGTTGTACTCTTTCCTTAGATAAATCAGCGGTGAAAGTTTTATCTGTGAAATATTTTGTAACTTATTTTTTTTATGGCATAGGTTGTAGTGTTTTTATACACTATCTGTTTATGTGATATTTACTTGCTTTGAATTCTTAGCTTCGCATGAAAAAGCCAGAAGAGCGGCAGCGCATAGTAAAGCCTCGCAAAGTGATGAGCCGCGAGGAAGATGTCGCGCAAGGGGACCAAAAGGGTGTTTGAAGGTGAAGTTGAGGAAGAGAAAGATTATTGTGAGTAGTTACTTTTATAAAATTCTTTGTATCATATTGATTCGACTAATGTTCTTGCAGCTGACACAGAATTTAATTTAATTTTGAATTCCGGGCAGATGGCAAGAAAAAAGCAGGCCATGACTAAAGAACAAAACACTGTTGATCAAGGCACACAAAAAGAGGAACCTCTGCCTATAGAGGCCTTGATGGAAAGATTGACCCGCATAGAATATGAGTGATTCATAGTTATTGTGTCTTAATTATTAATTAATCTTCGGTACTGCGTAAAGGTTTTTAAAAGTATTTTTGCATTAGATTAAAATGTTGAAATAAAAAGTAGTTATTAACTGTTACTAATAACTTCTTTCTTTTAGTTGCAGCCTGAATGGCTTATGCCAAAATGATCAATTTGAAGTCAAGTCTTTGAAGCTGCTTCGCTCTAAAAAAAAGATTTTTAAGTGTCATTCAAAATTTGGTATGCGTGAGTAGGTAAAGATCGGGTTTCATGGCCAAAGTTGAACTAGTAATGTTAGCAAGGTTTGTATGGTCAGAATTAGTTTTGTTCAGAGGAGATAAATTTGGAAACATTGTTAAGTTAAGATATAGAGATGACACTTGACCATCACTGCATGATGGCGGGAACGTTTGAAAGCAAGTACAGAAAAAGTTAGATTTTCTTCTACAAATTGATATTAATTTTAGTTTTGGCTTATTTTAAAATAAAATATATATTTCAAAACATTTTTTTTATTGTTGTTGCAAAATTGAAACAAATGTTAAATTTACAACAGTATAACCAAGTGTACGAAGTGAAGTTTCCTATGCACCGGAAAGTTGTTGGATATTTGACATGAAGTTGTAAAGAGTTATAAGTAAACAAAATCGAGAAAGAAACAAACATGGCGTGTCGTGCGTATATAAGTGTGTTTTTTCTTGCAATTCGTTTTATGCTGTTAAAGTTCCGAAGAGGCAGAAGTTATACTGTTCATTATATTGTTTATTACAATCGAACTCGAAGAAAATGGCTCCGTAAGTAAATCATTTATTTATATGCATACTGAATTACTTCATGTTCAATGGACATTGCTTCTTTTTTTGTAGTATCCTGAAACTATTTGCTGTTGTATATGTGAAAAACCATCCGCGTCGAAGATACCGACCAATTGGTTGATAATTAAAAATAATGACAGCGATTTTATAAAGGAAGCCACAATGACAGCGATTTTATAAAAGGTGGCCACGAAGGCATGTAAAAAATGTTTCGACGCTGCGCTGCCAATAAAAACGATTGGAAGTTTGGATATGCCCGAAAGTGTCAAGTGGTATTTATTTCAAATTATATTTGTTTCAGATACATATGAGTTAGCAAGGAGGCATACTAAGAACGTAGAATGTACGTCTAATGAAGAATTGGGAAGAGGCTTAAGGAAGAAGAGAAGGTGGCAGCTCTATCTTCTGATGAGTCTGATTATGAAGGTACTACACACATTTAACAAATTATCCTTGATTTGCAGATAATGCTGACGGGTTTAATTATGAGTTTCTAAAAGAAAACTCAGGTATACGAGTGACAGTTAAATTAAACTTAAATTTATAAATGTATCTTAATATTCATCTATAGTAAGTAATAACTTGCTACTTCAAATAGCAACTTACAACCTGCATAAAGAAGAAGTAGCTGCATCAGCAGGGGTGGAAGCAGCCGCATCGGCTGGAGAGCAAACAGCCGGGTCAGCAGGAGAGGAGGTAACCGAGACTACTTGGGGGGAGCAGGTATTCGTGCATGCGCAAGAGGCAGCCATATGCCTGCAGAGCAGGGAGCGGCTCCGGTGAAGCATATTGGCAACACAACGTCAATTAAAAATGAAGGTTGTAACATTCTATATTTAATTAATATTAGTCATGTAACAATTATTATTTTAACAAACATTCGTAATATATTTACAAACATTCGTAATATATTTACAAACATTCGAAATGTATTTACAAAACATTTCGTAAAATATTTACAAAATTCGCTGTACGTAAATATTTTGTCAACAACGCACGAGAATACGCGTGACGTCACCAAAGAGAAAGTTTTAAACATTCAACGATGAGCGTAGGGTCCTACGCGGAAGCAAGATGCAGCATACACACTAGCGCAGGTACGACAAGGACGGAAGATTCTACTACGAATACTCACGATACCGTTAGACCTCAGGCGTACAGACAGAAAGGGATGAAGAACTTATGCAATCCGCGTCATCCGTGTAAGCAAGCGATAAGAGCCTTAATCCTATGAGTCAGGCTAAGTTAAAGAAAGATAAAAGATTAAGACGATGATACATGCAACTTTGCCCTGTGACTCAAGCGAAGGTGTGAGAAAGATAATCATATGTACACATTCTACGTCACCGAAGGAAAAATTTGTCATAGCCAATTATCGATGACCTCAAGCGAGATAAGTTCATCATAGACCAATGACCATCTCATCCCCGAAGATTTTGGCGAGATAAACCGACGACGACCCCCGAAACGACGCGAAGGAGCTTTCGGACGGGCACGAAGGAAGACTCGGAACCACCACCCTCACCAAAAATTCTACCCCACTACGGGAGTAGGAGGAAAAGGAATCGTATAAAAAGCCTAGCAGAATCAGAAAAATTGTCAAAAGTGTTTAGTTCGCCCGCGGCTAAAAGCTTTATGGTTAAGATATTTCTCTCTGAAATTATTAACTAGTTGTTTCTAAACTCCATCGGTGGAAGAAACAACCCTGACTATCACTTGGGACTTCAGTCTAGTATTGAAGTTACAACGGTGTCCGGTAAAGCTGTTGTAAAGAATTCTCACAGAGTTCTTAGCAACCTGACGCCCGAATCATTTTTGCTCTCTCTGAGCCGAATTGATTCACCATCCAACGCGCTATTTCTAAGTTAATTAAGTGTCTGTATTATTTTATCGCATTTCTGTGAACCCACGAATAATTTTAATAAAGTTAATAGTTTTATAATTGTGTGTTTCTCATTTTAATAATAAAACCGTTACAAAACTGGCGCCCAACCGAGTGACCAGAAGCGATATGGCAGTCACGATGACCGAAGAAATGCTACAACGTTTGATGGGAGCTATAGGTACGCAAGCAAGCGTACGGACGGATCTGACGACAGGCAGCTTCTCTAGATGCACGGCCAGATTCAACGGATCGAGGAATTCCGAGAAGGTCCAGGAATTCACGACGACGATTGCCCTGTACAAGGATATAGAGGGTATATCAGACGAGATGGCTCTGCGAGGTTTGCCACTGCTGCTTCAAGACACAGCAGCTACGTGGTGGGAGGGCGTGAAAACGGAGGCAAGTACCTTTGACGACGCAATCCGTCTACTAAAGTCTTCGTTTGCCCCTAGTAAACCTCCACACAGCATCTTTATTGAATTTTTCGGAACACGTCAAGACAGAACCACAAGCACGGACTTATTCGTCTGTCAGAAGAGGGCTCTGTTAGCCCAACTACCTTATGAGATGCCACTCAACACACAAATTGACATGCTATACGGACTTTTAAATATGAGAATCCGTCATCGAGGCAATCCTTTTCGAAGCAGGAAAAGGAGACAGCAGTACCACGGAAAAGAAGAAGAGTTGCGCTTTCTGCGGCAACATTGGCCACACCATTAGCGAATGTCGGAAGAGGCAGAAAACCCTGCAGTACCGAAGAAGGAGGAACCGGAAACCCGTGTCGAGCCACGAATCTTGTGCTACGGATGCGGTAAGGCAGGTGTAATAAGAAGCAAGTGTCCAGTCTGCACGGCCACACCAGTACAACAGGCGACAACGGCGCTTGAGTGCGGATTCTTCGCACTAACCACGGAGGAAATCCAGAGGTGCAATTACTGCAAAAAGAAGGGACACATCAAACAGAACTGCAAAAAGCAACTGGCCTCGATAGCCAAGAAGAATTGGACCAACCCAGCACCCAGCTCCAGCTCCACCCCTCCCTCCGAACCTGTACAGCAAGTGCGAGAACTTCATCCCAGACCAGTGATCAGGACCCAGGTACAAGGCGTAGTAGGATACGCTTTTATAGATACTGGCGCAGAATCATCGATAGCGGGGCATGCGCTGTACCAACTGTTGGGGACACCGCTTCGATCAAATATTGATGAACTTGACGATGGCCGACGCAGAATCAAAATTATCGCAAGTCCTAAGAACTACGACAATTGTGCGTCTCGAGAATCGACCTATACCAACTCAATTCATTGTCATACCAGGAGCAACAAATGGTCGTACTCTATTGGGTATAGACTTCTTGCAGAAAGCCGGCTTGGTGATGGATTTGAAGAATCGCACGTGGAATTTTGAAGACCACCCACAAAAATATCACTTCGCACCACGAAAGGTTACAAAGGCGATGCAAACCCCAGAGAACCATAGCTGCCACCAAGCTACAATTATGGCCACCCTCACATAGAAGAAGAAATGGTAAACAATGATACGGACGACCAACTAATGCTGAA